TAATGCATATTTGTATAAGCATATATATTATATTTATATAAAAAGATATATTCTATGTATATTTATTGTCTCAGGTGATGGAAAGAAGGATCTGGAACTACTCAATGAAATGCTTCCATGTGGAATAGAACCAACCGGTATAAATCATTACAACATTTACCATTTCAAGTCCTGCTCCGGGTCCGCAATAATTTGGCTTCATTAACCCAGATCCGGATTCTCAAACAAAATTTTTTCTTTCTTTTTCTTAGAACCCAAATATCAAGTGTTGTTATAAAATAAAGAATGGACAAAAGATCCAGATCTTATTCAACACTCTAGTTAAACATACGCAAAAACGCGAAAAATGAACAAATATCAAATCTTTATAAAAGAAATCAAGGAAAACTTATGTTGTAAATTGTCATAATGCTTGTTAACAAGAACAAACATAAAATAATTTAGCTTCTATTTATCTATTTTAAGTATATTGTTTGCACAAGCAAATCCTGCATATTTACAACTCTAGCTCATCAAGAATTCTAAAGATTGAATTGTTTTTCTATCTTAAACGTGTCGAATTCTGACAATTTAATTCATGTTCCGTGCAGTGGCCGAATTTAAAGAATTTGAGCGGCGGTTTAAATTTAAGCCACGGTTTGAATATGGTTAGTTCCAATTAAAATTGTATCAAATGTTTCAAGATTAAAGCCGGCGCTTAATTTAAACCGGGTTTTGGCGGATATAAACCGCCGCTCAAATTCTTTAAATTCGGCCACAGGATTAAAAATAATTAATTTTTACGGAGAAAAATAAAAATATTTAGTTTTTCTATGATCACTGATCAGCTGACACTTTTGTTAGTCGTACTTGCCATTCTAAAAATATATAGAAGTTGCGACTACATTTTCTTTGATAGAGTTTGTTCAAAATATATATGTTAAGGGGTATTTGTTTGTACTGAGACTGGTGGAGTAGATGAAGGATTGGAGCTCATTAACCAACTCCCAACTCCACCCAAGGTCATAATTATTGTCTTTAAAGATTGTATTCTTAAAATATTTTTTTCATTAACGTAGTTTGTTTGTAGAAGACTTGACTTGAAAACTTGACAGTTGAAATGTATAAACTTCAAATTTTCGCATTTTATACTGTTTTCCTAAGCTGTTACAAGGTTGAATGTTGCAGGAGGACCAGGTTCCAATGTGTATTCTCAAGCAAGCCGGAACCCTCAAAGCATATCAGTTCATCCAGGTAAATGTGTGTATTGAGATCTGGGGTAGGATCTCTTGTATTGCCTTTCTGAAAGTACCGACCCATGAGTTAAAATTGCATTTGAATATCGTCGAAAGGTCAAATCGAAATTGCGGTTCAGCTCTTTGTTTAACTGATTAAATCATAAAGTTATCTTGTGGATATCGAGATCAGACCTTGTGGATTAGGGCAATTTCTTACAAAGTTAGGTACCAACCTCCATGAATTGATTATATCAGTATTGAGTGCCTAATATTGATTGGTGGATTAATTGATTGATTGATTGATTGAATAAATGATTTTTTGATTGATTGACTGATTAATTAATTAATTATCTGATTTATTGATTGATAGATTGACTGATTGATTAAATTATTGATTGATTGACTGATTGATTTAAATGATTATTTGATTGATGGATTGACTGATTGATTCAATGATAATTTGATTGGTTGATTGATTGACTGATTGATTAAATGATTATTTGATTGATTGACTGACTGATTGATTCAATGATAATTTGATTGGTTGATTGATTGACTGATTGATTAAATGATTTTTTGGTTGGTTGATTGATTGATTAATTGATTGACTTACTGATTGATTTAATGATTATTTGATTGATTGACCGATTGATTAAATGATTCATTGACTGATTGACTGATTAATTAAATGAGTTATTTGATTGATTGATTGATTAAATGATTATTTGATTGACTGATTGATTAAATGATTATTTGATTGATTGACTGATTGATTAAATGATTGATTGATTGATTAGGGTGAGCCTGTTGAAGCTGATCTTGTGGTGATGGGAGAATCTGAGTTTAAAGAGCAGACTGTAACCATCAGAGTGAGGTAAGACTAGGGACCATCTAAGAGAAAAAATTCCAGTTTTATTCATAAAATTAATGTTTTAATTACCATTTTTTAAAAGTTTTTTTCGATAAATTATTCTACGATCACAAAATTGGAAAACTACTGAATGACTTTCATGAGCTGAATTTTCGTTGTTTAGAGGAAAGATGGATTTAACCTGTGGATTAACCAAGCCGGAAATTGCAATTGGATTCAAGCATCTTATTGAGAAGGTATTTATTGATCAAGAGTGTGCTCAATTTTACCTATAGGAGACCAGGTAATAACTACAAACATAAGAGCGAGCATGAACTCTTTCTCTTCGGCTCACCTCTATTTGCACTGATTAAATCTTTTTTATAGACCTGGAGAAAGAGACACAATTTCAGGTTAGAAGGGGGCAACTAACCCATTGTGTTCTGAAAGATAAAACTCATTATTTACAGTTTTTGAGACTTAGGCTAGATTTTAATTAGGCTTTGGCGAGACAGTATATAGGTTTTGGCTAAATATTATACATATATGTTAAATCATAAAACATTTTAACCATAAAACTCAGGTTCTGCATTATAAAACAAAATCAGGTTATTCATTATAAAAATTGGCCTTTAAATAGTTGCATATTAAAAATCTCAATTAATTATTGAATTGAACACGTGATTGATTAGTAAAAAATTGTGCATGTAGAGTTCCGTGTGATTGATCGATTGTTTGTAGAGAATTCCTGGTTGAACACACTGAGTAACGTCTTGTCGCTGAACACCCTGAACACACATTAGTTTATAAAGATCCTCAGATCTTACAAAGAGATTGAGCTGGATGTGTAATTTTTTCTTGAAATATAATGATATTGCCAATTCCAAGAATTTCTTGATCCGGATCCTGGATCCACACTGGAAAAAAATGGATAAGGATCCAGGTCATTTCTAAAAGATTTACTGAATCTTTTTTACAAAAAATAATTTTCAAATTTTGTTCTTTTTTTCGCATATTTTTATCTTAAAACTTGAACTATTCAGAAATGAGGAAATTTTTATAATCTCTATTTTTTGCAAAAGTTCCGATTTTGGTTTCAGGAGTAAAAAAGGTTTTTTTTTGCAGTTTTTGGTTGATATTTTACCCCTTGGATCCGGATTCAGATCCAGGAAACCAAAATCTTACGGATCCGGATCCTAAGCACTGCTTATTCTATTAGAAAAGAAGGGGCCAACTGTATGAATTTTAGCAAGTCTTGCTGTTGATTCAATATTTAGAGGGAGAACTGTCTTTAAATATTTACCTTGTTTTGTTAAGGTTACTTGTCCCTATGGAAGCTATGTCCTGGATGGAGAACAAGTAATTTTTCTGCACAGATTTATAGAGAAGGGACTGGGCACAGGCTGGGCAAACCAGGCTGGTCAACTAACACAGGTAAATCAGGGTGTTACAACTTACAACAGGGTTATCTGTACTTTATTAGGAAATATCGTGACTTTAATAACTGTTTTAATGGGATATTTTAAATATTTTAACATTTCTGGGATGCAGCCCTCGGTCCACAAAAGTCTTATCGAATACATAACCTTACTTGAATTAAGTTCAACCCTCTGTTTTAATTAATATTGTAATTTGAATATTAGTATGCAAGGAGAAAAAATTGAAAAATTTAAGAGGTTGCGTGGTTTAGATAAAGATAGATAGATGTTTAAGATAGAGAAATATCATAATAAATATATGGATACTATCGAGGTTGCATAAATAGACAACGAAGGTGGTGGGGGCGGAGTTTAGAATAGTTAAACTTGAAAACTGAAGAGTAATAATTGATAAAGAAATGTCGATTTGATATAAGGATGTGTTCCTGTTTGTTTTTAACCTTTGTGACAGAAACAATCTCAAGAACTGACGAGGGTCAACCCAGACCGAAATATATTTTCAATAAATGTGGAACTAACATGTACTTTTTTACTCTATAGAGGTTTGGTCCATCACCATCACCGAATTTTAAATCAAGCATAACGTGTTATCTGAAATATAATAATATTAATATTTTAATCATCAGGAAGATGAGGAAGATTGTGAAATTGTTGGACCTGTCGGAGAAGATTCGGTTGTTGATGATTTGTGGCAGTTCACTCAAACTCCAGAGGTATTTATTTTAAAATCATGTTTCATATTTATATATAATATATGTATAGTATATACGGCAAAGCCGATCTGGCCTTAAATTTTTGTGGGACTTTGCACGATCCCAGGATCGATTTATTGATGATCAAAATTACAAAAATTTGTATTTAAAAAGATTTTGATTTTTGTAAAATTTAGAAAATGCTCTACAAAATATTTTAAATCCGCGAATTTTTTTCGTTATCTTTTTATATTTTACAAAGAGAAGATGCTCACTGCTCACAGATAGAACCACAATTAAAAGTTGAATAAGTCTGTCTGTCCGTTTGTATCCAATGAACGTCAAAACAGCTGAACCGATCAGGCCCACATTTTGTGTGGGACCTCGCATGATCCCAGGGAAGGTTTATGGATGATCAAAATTACAAAAATTTGTTTTTAAGTTTTTGATTCTTGTAAAATTTTGAAAATATTATAATTCCATGACCTTTTTCGTTATTGTTTATATTTTTAAAAATAAGTTGCACACAGATAGAGCCACAATTAAAAGTTGAAAAAGAGAATTAGTGCAAAGCGCCCTTGAAAGCCTAGTGTCTATATGTATATATACTTTGCTTGCATGTCCGTTTGTATCCAATAAACGTCAAAACGGCTTAACCGATCGGGCCCAAGGTTTGTGTGAGACCTCACATGACCTTAAAGAAAGTCTTTTGAACTTGGAAGCCTAGAATTACAAAAAGTTGTCTCAAAAAAGTAGAAAAAATTCTATATAAATATTATAATATATATTATATATATTTAAATCTCTACTTATTTTTGTTTTGTTTTATCTATACCTAAGTACATCACCTAACCTTACCTTTCCCTACTTACAATTACATATAATTACCCACTATCACTTATCTACATATATACTTTTAGGAGGACGACGGATTTGGTTCTGGATCTGTAAAAAGAAAGAAGGTTGAGAGAAAGGATAGACTTGAGTTTAATCTACTCTGGAACCTGACCAACCCGGCCTGTACATCCAGGTACACATTACCCATTACCCAGCACCTCAATCTAGAATTTAACCTGAAATACAGCATTGAACATTGAATTCTAGATTAAACCTAGAATACGAAATTGAACCTAGAAAACGACATTAAACTTAGAATGCAACATTGAACCTAGAACACAACATTGAACCTAGAATACAGCATTGAACATAGAATACATCATTGAACATAGAATATAGCATTCAACCTAGAATTACAACATTCAACCTAGAATACAACATTAAACCTAGAATACAGCATTCAAACTAGAATACAACATTCAACCTAGAATACAGCATTAAACCTTGAATACAACATTTAACATAGAATACAAAATTAAACATGAATACAATATTAAAACCTTGAACACAGCATTGAACCTAGAATACAGCATTGAAACTAGAATTCAGCATTGAACCTAGAATTCAACAGTGAACCTAGAATACAACAGTGAACCTAGAATACAACATTGAACCTAGAGTTCAACATTGAACCTAGAATTCAACATTGAACCTAGAATTCACCATTGCACCTAGAATTCAACATTGAACCTAGAATTCAACATTGAACCTAGAATACAAAATTCAATCTAGAATTCAAGATTTTACCCTAGAATACAAGATTTAACCTAGAATTCATCATTGAAACTAGAATATCTCTATCTATTAATCTCTACTAATCTAGGACTATTGGTTGTGCCCCTATTATCCACTATGAGAAGAAGGAAGCTAAGACTATCTCTGTCCCAGTGTGTATAGATGCTTTAGGTTTAGTTCCAGCAAATTCTAAATCTAAAGATCTTATGGATGTTCTCAAGGTTACTTTTATCTCTTTTTCTGGATTTAGGTTCTGATTCGGATTTGGATTGGATTGGATTGGATTGGATTGGATTGGATTGGATTGGATTGGATTGGATTGGATTGGATTGGATTGATTAATTATTTAATTGGTTGACTGACTGATTGACTGATTGACTCATTAATGGATTGATTTGAAATGAAAAATTCGAGATGAGCATTATTTTAGTGTTTGTTTTGTCCAGTGCTTAGAATCCGGATCAATTGGATCCGCAACATTTTGGCTTCCTGAATCCGAATCGTAAAAATATGCGGATCCACTGATTCGGTTCTAAAATATCATCCAGAATCAGAGAAAAAAATAAAAATTTTCTCTTAAAACTATTTAAACTGATGAAAAGAGAGATTATTAAAAATTTCTTTGTTTTTGAAATTTTCATTAAGTTTAAAAAGCCGGGAAAAAGAAGAAAAACAATTTGAAAATTCTTTTGTTGAAATATCTTTAAAGCTTAAAGTTATGTTCTTGACCTTGATCCGTATTCCGTATTCATTTTTTTTTTGGGGTGGATCCAGGATCCGCATCCGCATCAAAATAAAATGGATCCTAAGCACTGGTTTTGTCATGTAAAAGATCTACATTTTATGTTTTAATATTTTGTTTCTAAAGGGGTGTGTTGCACGTCAAATAGGAGATATTGCTGCATCTGTTCTATCAGAATATTCAGTTCAGAAGAGAGTTTCTACTCCTCAGGTCAGTTTTATATTAGAATATTTAGTTCAGAAAATAGTTTCTACTCCTCAGGTTAGGTTTTTATCTGAATATTCAGTTCAGAAGATAGTTTCTACTCCTCAGGTTAGGTTTCTATCTGAATATTCAGTTCAGAAGATATGTTCTACTCCTCAGCTTAGGTTTCTATCTGAATATTCAGTTAAGAAGATAGTTTCTACTCCTCAGGTTAGGTTTTTATCTGAATATTCAGTTCAGAAGATAGTTTCTACTCCTCAGCTTAGGGTTCTATCTGAATATTCAGTTCAGAAGATAGATTCTACTCCTCAGCTTAGGTTTCTATCTTAATATTCAGTTCAGAAGATAGTTTCTACTCCTCAGCTTAGGTTTCTATCTGAATATTCAGTTAAGAAGATAGCTTCGACTCCTCAGGTTAGGTTTTTATCTGAATATTCAGTTCAGAAGATAGGTTCTACTCCTCAGATGAAAAAAAATAATGTTCAGGTGTTCCATTTTAAGCCTGATGGTTTACCACACTTCATTACCATCATCTACCCAACTGCTGCTAATAATACAATATTCGAGGATTACAGGTTGTTAGTTTGGGACTTACTAGATTGGATTATTGATTTTATTTCATATGATCGATTTGATTAAATCAAGTCGACTTTTTGTTGACATATTGATATTAGCACAGAATTTCTTGAAAAATCACTTACCCGGTTCCTTCATCTTAAAAATCTTTTTTATCCTACATATAAAGATTGAATTTGGTTGGGGGGTTGAATGATTGATTGATAGATAGATTGATGTATGTATTGATTTGTGCTCATTTTTACCTATAGGAGACCAGGTAATAACTTTTATATATCAACAGGACTCGTGCCAGCCTAGCATGAGAATTACGTTGAGAGATTTGTGAGAAGTCAGGATATTACTTAAGCTCATTTTAGATATTTGCAATTTTTCACCTGGTTTTTTGCACGGATATGAGCCCGGAACTATTTAGAGGAATCACAACAATCACAATTATCTATATATATTTTATAAACCATCCGTAGGAATAAAATTTTCAACGTTGTGTAAGGAACATTCAACGTTTATTAGCCTTAAGTATTTATTACGGATGATTTATAGACCTGGAGAAAGAAACACAATTTCAGGTTAAAAGGGGGCAACTAACCCATTGTGTTCTGAAAGATAAAACTCATTATTTTCAAAGTTTTGAGGCTTAGGCTTTTTTAAAAACAATATATAGGTTTTGGCTAATATCATATATATGAGTTAAATTATAAAACATTTTAACCATAAAACTCAGGTTCTGCATTATAAAATAAAATCAGGTTATTCATTATAAAAATTGGCCTTTAAATAGTTATATATTAAAAATCTCAATTAATTATATAGAGTTGAAGACGTGATTAAATGTAGAAAATTGTGCATGTAGAGTTCCGTGTGATTGATCGATTGTTTGTAGAGAATTCCTGGTTGAACACACTGAGTAACGTCTTGTCGCTGAACACCCTGAACACACATTAGTTTATAAGGATCCTCAGATCTTACATGATTGATTAACTGTTTGATTAATTATTTAAAATTTTAATACATAGAAAATAATGTAAATATTTGCTAGGAAATCGATTCATGCCAGCTTTATGCTCCCTATGGATCGGCCTGTTTTTAGGAAAGCTAATGCCTGGCAGTGGCCTGATCCTAGTAGTAAGGTAATTAACTTGCAATATTATTTTTATCCTTTTTATTAATTATTCAATTTAATGAGGGATAATGACTACTGAACGCTGCGGCTGCGTTAAAGATCTGATAATTTTTAGATATCTTTTTGAAGAACTCTAAATGAAGTTCATTAGAAATATACCATTATAAATCATCTCCCCTAAACATGCATTTCCGTTTCTTTCCTATAAAAGTATATGATTTTAACTCAAAACCAAAGAAAATTATAACTCGAAGAAAATTCAAACCTGAAGAAAAATGATGTGCGAGGAAAAATTTAAATCGATTGCTTTGATATTCATGATGCATGTACTAGAGTGTACTGTATTTCTAGGATAAGTTGATGAATGTACACAGTACAATTCTTGAGAAGCATGGTGTACAGGGAGGACAGGTTGCAACAGTACAGGGGGTGTACACGTATTACCATTATATGCAGGTATGTTGTTTCACTCATAATTTTTTTGTCATGGCTTGAAAGGTATTGTTAAAGGGATTTCTGGGGTGTATATTATTCAGATAATTGGAGGAAAAAATAACAAAAATAAGTAATTTTCTTCAATTCAGCGAAAAATCCCTAATATTTTTTTGACGCTCCACCAAATAAATGATTTTCTAAAAGGTAAGCTAAGATAAGATAAGATAAAGTTTATTGCTAAAATACATGTATCTGTATACAGAACGAGTTTACAATTACAAATTGAAGATTATATAAACAGTATAAGTATAAAGCAATTGGGTGGAAAATAGCTCTTGGCTGTTTTGATTATTTTTTCCAAATAATCGGTAGGCAAATGATTTTTTAGGCAAATATACATCCCTGAAGGAATTTCAAGCGACTTGTCAGTAGAAGTGCCATAAACGATTAAAAACAGCATGTTATGTGTGAATTTATTATTTTTTTAGTTTTTAAGCTGTTTCAAGGGGTACTGTTGTGAATGTCTATGACGTAAATGAAATAATATCTTATAATCCTTACACCACAGATCCAAAATAATTCTTGAATTTAGCACTTTACACATGAAATGTAATCCACAAGACACCCTAATATGGACTTCCCAGACCGCCGCAAGGTGGGGGTAGCACCGTCCCACCACCTGTTCCAATGCCGGACCTCTAACCCCCCACTAGCTTTCCCCAACGTAAGGCTCTTACAAGGGCTGACCAACAACCGCAGTGAGTGGCTGGTGAGTTGAACACACCGGTCGCTACAATAAAAAAAGAATAATTTTAAAAATGTATTTTTAGGATGAGTTTGATGATGATGGATGGGGTTGTGCATACAGATCACTTCAGACACTCATATCTTGGTTCAAACATCAGGTGCTGAAGAATTCTTTTAATTATCTCCGTTCTATAAAGATACTATTTATAAAGTTATTATTAAATTAGAATTTTTATATTTGAAAATATCTTTTGAGAAAAATAAATCACTTATTGGGAACAAGCAATAAGGTTGCAGTATGTGCCCCCGGCCCCAGTTTCCATTTTGTTTCACAAAGTTTAAATATTCGGAAAATATACCCCAAGAAGTTAGAATTGTGACTCATTAATTCTTTTCAAGAGTTTTCCAAATAAACCATTTATCTGATTTTACCGTTCAGTGATTTTATGTAGAGTGAATTTACACTTTACATTACAAATGCTTGCTTCATTTTTAATTATCAATAATATATTTTCAGAGAAATATTTCGACATGAAAAGTAAACTTTAAGTAAAACTTACAGCATTCAAATATCTAAGAAAGTGTCCAGTGAATCCAGCAGCCCTGCCATTTAACATCATAGTTATAATTTTGTTTATATCCTAGGGTTACACTGATACCCGGATCCCAACCCATCGTGAGATCCAGAAATGTCTGGTTGACATAGGAGACAAGGAAGCCAAGTTCATCGGATCTAAGCAATGGATCGGTAGCACTGAGGTACAGAATAAATTTAGTTTTTTTTTCTCCTTAAAATATGACTTACTTTTGTATTTTAATACTATTTCAGATGGTTAAATTTTTTTCTTTTGAAATCGTTTCCCCCCCAAATGTAGCAATTATTATTTTACGGGGGGTTAAAGTAATTATTAACAAAATACATACCTCCCGAGTCCAAAACTTAATATCAAATAGTCGCAACTTGAATTCAAAGTTTCATCTAAAATGCCTCGTGTGACCTAAATTTAACCGTCAAAGCTATAGCTATAATATTTAAATCCCTGAAATCAATTTTATCAATCATGATTCTACGGATAATTTAGCGGCACTAATCAATCTGGTTTAATCTTGAATTCATTACTTTACAAAACTTTTATGTTTTATCTTTAAACTCTCACATTCTTAAGTTTTGAACTAGGGATTTTTTTAATTGACCTTAAAGAATTTCCATGGTTTTTACCATTGATAATTTTAATTGTTGATAAAATAATACATGTCTTCAGGTTGGATTTGTTCTTGAAACTTCGTGTAGTATTCAATCCAGATTCATCTCTGTATCCTCAGGGGCAGAACTAGCTTCCAGGGTAACCACTAATCTTTTTTTTCATGGCTGATCTTAACTATTAATGTATGGCTGATACAAAAAGTCCAGGACATGATCCTTTTTTTGTGTTTTTAATAGTGCATTTTCGAGGTTTTGACGTGGTCGAGATGTTTTGGTAAAAAATTAGTGATGTTATGTAAAGCAAAGTGACGTTGAAAATGAAAACTTTCTTTTTTTAAGTGATTTAGTAAGTGCGGGATATTATTTTTTTTGCGGGTCAAGTATCTAATGGTTAATCAAGGGATATTTTACGTGGGCAAGACATGTTTTACCTCTAAATTGTCCCGAGCGATGATAAGTTAGGCAAAGTGACATAAAACATAAAATAAATTCAGATTAAAATATTTGCATCTAGATTGTTCAGAAAAGTTGTGTTCGGATTTAATGATTAGTTAAATAAGTTCAGACAAAAAAAATATAAAAGTTAAATATCAAATTAACAATTTATTTGCATTTCAAGACTTGGTCTATTTATTCTTCTTGGATTAAAAAAAAGTTTATCAAATCTTTGTTTCTTCAGACACGTGACCTGATTGCCCATTTTGAGAGCGAGGGATCCCCCGTGATGATCGGTGGTGGAGTTTACGCACACACTATCCTAGGCGTGGCATGGGACGAGAAAACAGGTTGATTAAATATTTTAAAAGTTTCTTTATTTTTATTTTATATTTTTTATATTTAGACAATTGTTCATGGCTCATACTGGATCCACATTATACAGGTACATTCAAACTACACACAGAATATATTGAAAAAAATTTCTATAAGTTTAAGACACTGAAAACGTATTTCAAGTGACCCTCAGTTTAAAAAAATATTGGCATGTCCAATTTACAACGGTACCCTTTAAACTAAAAATTAAGTATTTTAAATTCTGCTTTTTCTTTAACAGTGATTTGCTCCTTTATGCTTTAGAAACAATTAACGGAATTCATTGCTAAACAAATAGAGGTTTGAATGACACCGTTGGGAAGTCTATCTGTAAAGAGAGAGTCTACCAAAACAAAGAATCATTCTCTGATTTTAAATTATAAAAATTCATTTTTTGCTTAATACGTAACTTGTGATGTTTTGTAGTTTCCAAAACGAATCAATCTTATTCGCATCACGGTCGGTCTCTTTTTCATAAAAAATATCTTCTTTTACTTTCAGTATTTTACATAATAAATCTAAATATATTATTTAGGATCGGACGATCTGAAGACTATATTGGCAAAGGGTTGGTGTGGATGGAAGGGTGCAAAGTTCTGGAATCAAACTGCTTTCTACAACATGTGCTTACCGCAGAGACCAAAGAATGTTATCTGAAGCTAACAGCGAGACTCCTCAACCTGTTGATATAACTGAAGACACTATTGACTATATAGTATATAGAGCAAGTTTTGGTCTCAAAATGAAATATCTTCCGACAAACACACATCCGTAATGTGATGTTGTTAAAAATGTGATGCATTTCATACACTTGTGCAACTTTGAAATACTTTACTTTATACATGCTGCTTTTTTTACGTTGCTAAAACTAGTTCGCCCTTTAAACTTCCAGTCTGGATCTGTGTTAATAGAGCTGAGAACCATTCCTGTCTTATCAAATTGAACTGTATTCACTACTTTCAGGGTGGCCAAAATGTACGGATTGTACGGATTGTACGGATTGATTTTTTTTTTACCCTAAAATTGTACGGATTGTACGGATTGCACGGATTGTACGGATTTGTTTTCAAATTGTACGGATTGTACGGATTTTATCCTGGAAAATACACCGTTTTTTTAAATTTTCACTCATTTCAGCAAATTTTTCATGAAATGATTGTTTTTCGAAAATTGTACGGATTGTACGGATTTCTTCTGAAAATGTACGGATTTTTGTACGGATTGGTTCAAAAAAGTTTTGGCCACCCTGTACTTTTGAAGAAATTAAATCGATATTTTTTTATTTAGAATTGGAATTCGGGAAAATTTATGTTATAGCTGCATTTCTTTGTTAAAATTTTTATAAATCTTTATTTATTAAGATAAATAGTTTTATGCTGTATTAAAATGTGATGAAACGGTAACACTTTATTTTGTTTAATGTTATAATTTGGTGAAGGTTGTTTATTTTGTAAGAGACATTTATTTTTAAATAAAAAACCCGACATTTTTCTGTTTTAGATTGATAATGATGTTAAAATGCTTGGGTTTATACTTGATGTTAGACTTTAGACTATTGGTTTGTTCCAGTACTCAAGAATGCTGTACATTTTTTCTATCCTGTTAGCAAAAAGTTAGCAGGAATAGGGATGGTTGTATTCCCTAGCTTTCAGAGACGCAACTAGCCTCCCCCCCTGAAGATTTGATATGAAGAATACAATTAATAATATTATAAGAAATTGAATAAAGATAACTATTTCGCCCGCCTGACCCCCCCCCCCAAAAAAAAAAAAATTTCACCCCATCATGATCATGAATGTGGGGAACTTTTTAAATTTTGCCAATTAAGAAAAAAATAACTGCATTTTTCTTCGGCGCTTTGCGAAACATTTTGAATAGAATTTCCTGCTTTTATCTCTTTAAAACTGATGAAAGTCGATCATACTTAATTTATCCTCTCTCTCAAAAAAACTATGTATATATTTACACACGTTATTTCTTATGGGTATTACAAAACATGACCCTTAAGGGTATAGAAAACTGACTACCAAGACATGGCATATTGTGATTGATGAATATCAAGAAAAAATACGGATATCGGCTTAACAGGAATTTTGTAGGCTACAAGTAAAAGGGTGAAGCGGGTCCCACTCACTGGAAAACAAAGGTCGAGTGACTACGTCAGTTCAGACAGACTAAATAGTAAATATACAAAATATAGACAGACGAAAGATAGTCAAACTTGCTGCAGACTACACAAACCAACAATAAAGGAACTAGATAGTGGACAAAAAGGACTATTGGATGAATAACAAAAAGTTGTAGACTATAACAGGGGATTTATACACATAGTGCATATGATTAAGCGCACAGATTCTACGAAAATTTTCCGGAGGTCAACTATTCGATTTTTTTTGATAACCCTTATGAATGATCTAAAGGGTCAACTTTGCACTCTAATAAGTAAAGAAGAATTCTTCTGCTACAAAATATATTTCCTTTTTTCAGAACTTAAAGCAAAGTTGTAAACCAATAAGTTACAGATTTGACGCATAATGCTGAATCTTCGTGACTTCAGTTATCTGAACCTCCTGAAGCCTGAATGCAGTCAGGTTCCCCCAGATGTTGCCATTGATGTTCAAGACGTTCAGGGATATTCTTTAGGTAAACTTCCAACACACACGCTTTTGGATATCGATATCAAGCGTTTAACAATGTTCCACACAAAAATTCTGATATCAAAAAGAATATATTCTTAAGGATTGTTAATGTTTTTTTTCCTAATTTACCTAGCAATGATGTAGTGCCGTAAACAACTATAGACAGTTATCTGTTTAAAGGTTCTTGCCCCCCCCGCAATACTTTTACCAAGATTTTGTCTTTAGAATATATTCTAAATTCTTTTCTAAAAACAACAGTAATTCGGATCCATACTAAGGGATTATATGTTTATGTTTTGGACAAAAATCTTAATGTAAATTGTTAATGGCCATAATTTGAAACAAGAAAAGAATTGAAGAAAAAATATTGAGTTCGGAACTGCGGGGGGATTTGTTCATTTCAGGAAACCTGGATCCGAATAAAAAACATAAAAAATTAAGCACCTTTTTTGGTTTTCAGGATCTGTTAAAGCTCACAAGTTCTTTCTCTCTCTTCTCTCCCCTGTCTTAAGAGGAATATTCAAGGAGAACCCGGATTTGAAAACCATTAAGATGATTGGATCATCTGTAAAGAGCATCGACACTCTGATCAGGTTTCTCTATACCGGAGACAAAACCTTGATATCCGGGTTGACAAGTGTTGCAACTCTGTTCGAGATTCTAGTTCTAGGAGAGAAGTATCAGATATCAGGGTCTGAGACTATGATCCAGGATAGAGTTAGAGTAGTCGGTATCTCCGATTACGAAGAAGTGTTCAGTGTGCTCAAGAAGTGTGAGGAAGTTTCAGTGGTCAAAGATATCTGGGATACTCTCAAGAAAAGAACAATTATTCAACTTCAAGATAGATATAACTCAGAAAAAGAAGTCATAACTTTTCTGGAAGTAAGCTTTTTAGACAATCTTCTTTCTGTGTTTTGATTTTTTGAAATTTTAACGTTTTATTGTTTTATTTTGGGGCTTTTCAATGTGCAGCAATCATACAATGCTATTTATATACTTAATTTTTTTCTATAATTTAAAAATTCAAAGATTTTTATAGAACCTTTTTTGGGGTCTTTTAAAGGCAATGAACGTTCCCTGGGTTAATGCTTGTTCCATACCTTTGGGTTCGATCTGTTCACCCGTTCAGATGCTTAATAATGGTATACAAACAAACCAATACTTGAGCTAAGTTTACCAATAGATTCTATTTAATATGAGATTCTGTAGAAGGTTTCTGGACCTAAGAGTGGAGTGTCGAAGTGGATGAAAATTAAGATTCTTCCCTACCTTGTATTCAAGAAGAAACCTGAATATAAGAGACCAAAGTTAGAGCTTTATCTAGTGTCTGAGGAGGAAGACGATGAGGAGGAGGAAGAGGAGGATGGTTATGATGTTAATTGGGATAAGACAGATGAGAGTGAAGAGGATGAAAGTAAAACACAGGAAAAGAAAGCTAGGAAGAACTGCACTAACTGCAAGGGAACTAATCAGTGTTCTGATGGAGAAAGACTCAATGAACTACGTCCAGGTACAGTAGACCTTGTATTCTTTAGTTTCTTGAAGGTTGTTAAACAAGAGTTAATCCCCCTTCTAGCGTCATGTTTTTGAAAAAAAAATACATTTTAGAGGGTTGATTGAATTTGAATTTTTGAAACCGGGGGTTTTATTTTTTTTAAATCATTCAATCACCTTCAAATGTTTGTTGTTTTCCATAAATCTTAAGAGTTTTCTGCTTTCTCACGCTGAAATATGACCTTTTGGGAAAATAAAAGACTAAAAAATTATTTTAAAGCGTAATTTGGTAATTTGATCGTAATACTGAAGTTTGTGTCAAAATGGGCTTGAATTTCAGTCGATCAATTTTTGGTTATAAATGCTAGATCTGAGAATTTTAATAACTTTTTGAGTTGACATTTAATTCTCAGGAATCCGTGTTCGGACCAAAGTCGATTCCACAGCTTATGATCACGAACTTGGCATGCGTAGTGCTATTTACAAAGGTCAGACCGGTGTTATCAAGGCAATGTACTTTGATGCTGATGAGAATGAGTTCCAGGTGAAGCAGGGGTATCTTATCTATATACATATACAGTCATACTCAGAAAGACCCGTAATTAAATTACAATTAATCAGAGACTTTATAATTATGAGTGATACTTCGATTATTACGAAATAGCCCTAGTCCTGCCATTTCCAAAATGGGTCAGACTTTTTTGTGCGTTTAAAATTACCAGAGATATGTGAAGTTGTTTGATTAACTGTAATTTAATTCCAGGTCTTTCTGATTATGACTTTATTTAAAGTAGTAATCTCTGTTTGGATGTCCGATCATAACTCAGAAACCCCTAGACTGATATGCCTTAAATTTTAATAATGGAACTGGGTAGTCGGCAGAACCACGGGAGTGTTCTTATCTTGGGTTTAAAATTATTGTTTTGCAATTTTTTCCACCCTATTAAATTATACCTAACATCCTGGGGGGGGGAGTATCTTGATAAATAGGTGTATGGAATATATTATGTTTAGGTGAGGGTGACCTGGGATCCCTGGGGGGGGGGAGTATCTTGATAAATAGGTGTATGGAATATATTATGTTTAGGTGAGGGTGACCTGGGATCCCTGGGGGGGGGTAGTATCTTGATAAATAGGTGTATGGAATATATTATGTTTAGGTGAGGGTGACCTGGGATCCCTGGGAGGAGAATGAGGCTTACTATGAATCCCACACAAACTATGTAGATCTCGAGTTAAGGTACAAATGTGGATAAGAGATGTGATCACTGACAATCATCAAAAAAGAATTGGTGTAACCTGTAACCTAATAGACTGATCTTAACCCCGTTATTATTTTTTTGATACCTGATGTAAATTCTATGAGTAATTTTTTTTCAGACTTAAGAAATTATTTGAGATCTTTAAAAAATGCCCTAACTTGTTTAAAGTGCGGAGGCCTGGATGCTACTCCTAGGAATCGTCAGGAAACCAGAAGGAACAAATTTTACAGCAGAGACCCAAGAACGTTATGTCATGCTATAAGTGAAAATCCTCAACCGGTTGATTTAAATGTGCAAGACACCATTGACTGAAAAGATCAAGTTATTGTCAGTAAAAGAAATAACTTTTGACAAAAACACATCTGCAAGACTGTAGAGTATAGAGTCATATTGTTGTTAGACTCAGAGCGTTCGTAAAAATGCTATGCAAAGTATACACTATAATACACCCACTTTCAATATTTTATTTTTATTCGATTAGCTTTTATCCTTGCAGGAAGAAAATTCTTCCTTAATAAGATGCATCGTTGTAAATGTGAAAACATTTAAAGTTTGCAAGTTGAAGGTCCCCATATTTAAAAACTATCTTTTATTTGATATACTCGATAAACTGTTAAAAATCAGGTTGCTTAGTTTTCTTTTTATTATTATTCCATTATTTTATTTAGAGTTGTGCCTTTTACTCTGATGGCACAACGATCTGAAAGTTTAACGTGGAATACTTATATATACTTACTTTAATTCTATGTAATGATGGTTGACAATTTATTATTATTATTATTATTATAAATTATTCATACTTACTTGTATGAGTATTTTTATAGAAGAATTCTTCTGCCACAAAATATATTTCCTTTTTTATGTGTTTCAGAACTTAAAGCAAAGTTGTAAACCAATAGGTTACAGATTGGATGCAAAATGCTGAATCTTCGTGACTTCAGTTATCTGAACCTCCTGAAGCCTGAATGCAGTCAGGTTCCCCCAGATGTTGCCATTAATATTCAAGATGGTCAGGGAGATCCTGTAGGTAACATGATTAACATTTTGTTGATCTGTGTCAGCAGGATTTTCTTTTTCTTTGCGGGGGGGGGGAGGTCTTGCAAAATTTCTCATTCCAATTCCTCTGTTGAGAACTGAAACTTGCCGGAAAATCTAAATAATATGGCGTAGAGATACTAACTCTCATATTTACCATCGAAAAAAAAATTTACCATGAACATTTTCTTTAATTTGAAGAACTTTATTTTGACCTAACAATTTCTTTCAAATTGGTAACAGATTTTTTGGTTTCCGATAGCACTGTAAATCCAGTTTCCAGATAAAGGCAGTAAATTTTAGTTTCAAGTTGTTGAACAAAAATTTCAATGTAAATTGTAAAGTAAACTGCCATGATTCGAAACCAGAAAATAATTAAAACGATTGAGTTCTTGATCCGAATATTTCTCTAAAACGGGATCCCAATAAAAAATAACGAAATTAATTTGTCTTTAGGAAGTGTTAAAGCCCACAAGTTCTTTCTTTCTCTTCTCTCCCCTGTCTTCAGAGGAAGATTCGAGAAAAACCCAGATTTGAAAACCATTATGATAATGGGATCATCTGTAAAGAGCATCGACACTCTGATCAGGTTTCTCTATACCGGAGATAAAACCCTGATATCCGGGTTGACAAGTGTTGCAACTCTGTTCGAGATTCTAGTTCTAGGAGAGAAGTATCAGATATCAGGGTCAGAGAGTATGATCCAGGATAGAGTTAAAGAAGTCAAAATCTCAGATTACGAGGAAGTGTTCAGTGTGCTCAAGAAGTATGAGAAAGTATCAGTGGTCAAGGGTATCTGGGATATTCTCAAGAGAAGAACAATTTCTCAACTTCAAGATAGATATAACTCAGAAAAAGAAGTCCTATCTCTTCTGAAAGTAAGATTTTTTAAAACTATGAATTCATCTTCTTTTTAATCAGTATTATCATATTTTATTTCATTTTTGGATTTTTTTTTAGGCAAGAAAACGTTTAGTCAAGCTTTTTTTTGGATTTTAATAATTAAGAAAGCAATCGGAAATGATTCCTTGAATTTGTTTTTATATTTTCTTAAAAAAGAGTTTCTGTAGAAGGTTTCTGGTCCTAAGAGTGAAGTGTCTAAGTGGACGAACATTAAGATTCTTCCCAACCTTGTTTTCAAGAAGAAACCGGAATACAAGAAATCAAAGTTAGAGGTTTATCCTGAGTTTGAGGAGGAAGAGGAAGAAGAAGAGGGGGAAGAGGAGGAAGAGGAGGAAGAGGAGGAAGAGGAGAATAGTTCTGATAATTATTGGTCTAAGACGGATGAGTCTGAAGAGGATGAAAGTAAGACGCTGGAGAAGAAAGCTAGGAAGAACTGCACAAACTGCGAGGGAACTGATCAATGTTATGATGGAGAGAAACTTGAAGACCTACGCCCAGGTAAAAACTAGGCTTTCTAGAGTTTTAATTTTGAACATTTTTTAGACAAATGTTTATCTACCTGACGGGTGATGGGTATATTTTCTTCTAAAATCATGTAATCCCTTTTAAATTATTGTTAATGAATAAAACCTTAAGAAAAATGAAGTGAAAAAATATATTTCTTGAAGCTCATTGTTTTAATATTTGATTTAAATTTCCAAGATTTACTGGGTCCGAAACACTATCCAAAAACTGCTATTTATTTTAATCAGTCGATCAATTTTTGTAATAGCAGGGGACCAGATGGGTTTACCTTGGTTAAAATGAGTTTTTAATTTTTTTACTAGATCTTTTTTATTTTACAGGAATCCGTGTGAAGACGCAAGTTACATGCTTAACTGAAAATCTCGAGGATTGTATACGAACCTTTTACTACAAAGGTCAGACCGGTGTTATCAAGTCGATGTATTATTCTGGTCGTGAGTTCTGTGTGAGAATAACTTGGGATCCCTGGGGGGAGAACGACTTTCACCTTGATTCAGACACAAACTATGCAGGGTTGTATATATTTTTGTAGAAAAATCCTTTTGCTGCAATTATTGGATCTCAAATATATTTTTAAGGACTTTATATGCTGAATTGGAGATAATTTTTAGGGGGAAATATTTGAGTTTTGGGATAGAAAGTGTTAAAAAGGACGAAAAAACTTGCTTTTTGATATCCTCTTTCTCCAGAGCATCATAAATCATCCCCAACCCCCTTTGGGTGGGGTCTCTGGAAAATATATACCCCTCCACTATGCAGTGCTCAAGCTGAGGTATAACTGTGGATAAAAGACGACCTCATCCAGAAGCATCAAGAACCAATGGGTTTAATCTGAACACCTTAGACTGAATTAAGACATCACACCCTATTGTTTTTTTTTGGTACCTGATGTAAATTCTATGAGTAAATTTTTTTTTCAGATAGTATAAATGTTTTAAAACTCTGATTAAAAAATGTGTCGACTTGTTTACAGTGCGGAGGCCTGGAGGCTACTCCACGGAATCGTTAGGAAACCAGAATTTACATTTTAAACACATTTTTTACCGATTTTATTGTTTTTGAAAATTTCAGTATTTTATGATTTGATTTTGTCAAGATTCTTTTTCATTATTCAATATATCGCATAATTTCTCAAGTTTAGTTTTTAGATACAGGAATTCAAATTTCTAATTATAGCTAACTCTAAGAAAAACTGTAATTTCACCACTTTAAAACTTGGAATTGATGAATTAAGAATTTGAAATAATTATTTACAACTACTTTACAGGGAAGTTAAGGGAATTTAACTGTACCTAGGTTTTCCAATTTTGCCTACAAAACATCCAAAGAGTAGTAGTTGTACACAATTGATCATCTTTTGAGATAAAAACGCGCAATTTTTTTCACGAAAACTGCGGAAAACAAGTCCTTATTTTACTTAATTGTCCCAAGGTACATTATAAACGTCCTACTGCTGGGGGAATCAGAGGTCAAAAGACGGTAAAAGGAGTTCTGAATTCTGATGTCTAGTTTGTATAAACCTGCTGGTATGCCCATGTCAGTCCTAATCAAAGGACTTAATTATTCTTTAGGTTAGATTCATTTAAACTGTAATGATATAATTAGCTGACGGATTTCTGAAATATCTGTTTTGAATATTGTGTTAATAGCAATAAAGGCGAGAATTACGTTTCCAAAATTGTCAAAACTATCNCCCTCCTTCTTTATTAAACGAATTTTGTATATCTATTATCCGAGTACAAATAACTGTTTATGATTTTCATAAAACGGATTGTTTGGATGTAATGAATTAAATGGATTTAAGGCATTAAATGGATTTAAGGAATTAAATGGATTAAGTGAATTTAATGGATTATCTTAGATAAATGAAATGAATTAATTGAAGAACAAAAAAAAATTTGAAAATAGAATGAATGGATTGAATAGAATGAATAGTATGAATAGAATGAATAGAATGAATAGAATGAATAGGATGAAAAGATGAATAGATGAATAGAATGAATCGAATGAATAGAATGATTCGAATGAATGGAATAAATATAATGAATGGAATGAGTGGAATAAATTGAACAAATAAAATGAATTTATTAAAGAAGTATTTAATTAGATTAAATAAATTGAGTGATTAAATGAAATTAATTAAATGAATGTAGTGAGAGATCTGAACATGATGGAACGGTTAGTGGAACCTCAGTATTTATTAGGTAGCAACTTTTCTTTATTATAAAATAAAAATATTCATTAGTGTTTTTCTTGGAAAAGTATTTATCATTATTTTTTAAGTTTTTTTTATTTTTAAATTTATGATGACTTCCTTGAAAGTTGTTGTTTCTTCTTAATGAAATCAAAATTAGAATTTTTCTGTACTAATGTCGTTGCCTTATCATTTAAAAATCTTTCTATTTTCTCTATTATATTTTAGGCATTTTGTAACAATTTTATTTAATAACTGTCGATTTTCAAGTTGCCATTTTCTCATCTTTGTTCATTAAAACTAAGTAAAGTTTTTAAAAATTTCAAAAAATAAGACATTTTTCGAGGCCAAAGTTGTCAATTTCGACCATTCAGAAATTCCTAGGTTCAGCCGTTTAGACGTTTATTTAATACAATCTAAGTGTATGTTTATATTTGTTTTATTAGGATCTTCTTCATCACCAGCAGGGTTGGATATATCTCGCAGATATTTTCCTTCTTCGCAGTCACAGCTCATACAAAACAAAATGGTTGTCAATTTACCCATGTAAGTTAATTAATTGCATACCCGGCAGAGGCGTATTCAGGGGGGGGTGGAGGGCTACTGGGGCTCAGCCTCCCCCGGACCAGTGAAATCTTTGGATTTCAGGGGGTTTTTAGGCCCCGACGGGTGCTGAGCCTCCCACCCCCCTGTAAAGAAAAAAATCCTGACTACGCCCCTGACCCGGCGTTACCCAATAATAAAATATAAAGTTGTTTTTTTAATTTTAACAGACTACCAAGGTTATCATTTATTGATAACAATAATAATCATAATGAACAGATCAAAATTGCGCTTTTTCGTCATTGCTTGTTTATTTGGGCTTCTTTTTTTCGTATTTTTTTATTTTGTCGAATATTTCACCAAAAAATTAGCCGGGCGATGCGATTTCTTTGTTCGGAGTCCATAACTGGATTTTTAAATCTCTTATCTCCACTCTGCAGAATACAGATTTCTGTATAACAATAACATCCATACAACCTTGTACACTCTTTCAATTGAAATAAAATGATAAGATTAAAATTGTTTTCTAGAAAAGAGTTATCTGAATCAAAACATAAACCTGAACCTGAGCTTGAAACTGAACCTGAATATTACGAAGAAAAATTCACATCAATCGATCGGAACAATCAACGTGAGTAGTGAGATATATATATATATATCAATTTAAAATGGATAAAAAATAAGTTTCAAAATATCCTAAATAACCATGAATAAGAATTTTTTTCTGTTGCTGATTTGCTGACTGCTCTTGTGATTAAAGATTAGTTCTCTACTTGCTGTGTCCTTTTACCTTGACATATTTGGTAATTTTTTCTTATCTAGTCTATAGATAGAAACCCGAGCCTTCTATTTTTAAGATAAGATAAAGTTTATAGATAAAATACATGTATCTGTGTACAGAACGAGTTTACAATAACAAATTGAAGATTATATTAACAGTAAAAGTATAAAGCAAATAGGTGGAAAATAGCTCTTGACTGTTTTAATTACTTTTTCCACCTAATTTTAATAATGATAATAAAACATTTCAATGAAATAGATTTACGAAGAACTATTATGAGATCAAGGTGCGATTTTATCTTATGCAAAATACATGAAGAGCAATTCGGTTTATAACACATTGTAATGTAATTTTCAAAAAGAGAATTTAGTGGTCTATTTTTAAATATACTTAGATAGTCAAGAGGCAGGTTATTCCACATCTTAAGACGAGAGCCTGTTGGTAAATACTGTAATGAGCACATTTTGAGAATGTCAAGTTAATAGTTAAGAGATCTTTCAAGGTTTCCAAGCTTTTTAAAAATGTTTTCAAAAGATGCAGGAAGAAGTTTATGTGTATATTTATACATTTCATATTTTTTCATATTTTTATTCAACTACAAAGCACGAGATAATACAAATAAAAAATCACAATTTACTATGTAGTTTGGACCCGCCTAACCAGAGTAGGTTGTTTTAATTGGTTGGCCCACTATAAACGAATGAGAATTGCAGATAAAAACAATGTACATTGTACATTTTAAACATAAGAATGATAATAAATCAGGTAAAAGGTAAGGNGCGCTATAGGATAGACAATACTTTCAATTATTTCCTTCAGTAGCTTGGTAGAAATATTGTCCTTACCTGAACTGTTTTTAGGTTTAAGTTTACTCACTGTTTCAAGAATAATTTCTGGTGTAATATTTGCAAACACAAAATTTTCCTTGGATGGCTCCTTCAGATATGTTTCAAAATTAACATTAGAATCATAAATATAGCTTGGTTAAATTATATTAACTACTAATATACAAATAACAAATCATTATCTCTTCAAAAATAAAATTTTCTGTATACAAGGAATGTTTGCATTCATGGGGGCTTCTTCCTAAATTAGATGAAAAGAATGGTTTTTAGGGCTTCTTCACTCTCCTAGCTCCGGTTTAGGGGGGGGGGGGACGGGGGGTTCTTCAAAATATATACCTCTGCTAATAAACCCTACGAGCATATCTTGGATAAATTGTATCGTATTAAATTGTTCAATCCTGGCAGACTTCCTTTCCTATAACTTTATTATTCTCTAGTTGACGAGGATTGTTTCGCGTCCGAAGATAAGGAATTGGAAGAAAAGGAGGAGAAGAAGGAAATGGTTGATTACTCCAGTCATTTTCGGCTTTTAGGTACTTACGATTTTACGGGNAGGTAGGGGAAATTGGGTTGTGCACACATTTGACTGTAACTTTTTAAGATTCCTAGGAACTAATTCTATCAAAACAATAACAAAGATGGTAGGCAAAGGGTGGAACCAGGTTTAAGATACAAAAGTTTTGCACTTGAGTTTTCCTTCCATCATTCCATGGAAACATTTAGTCTTCGACATGCCGATGTCGAACATCAAAAGTCCCGAAATATTTAGCCAACATTTTCGCCATTTGGGCATATAGTCGGTTTAAATGTTTCCTGGGTTAAACCAGTTCCTAGGAAATTCTAAGACGTCACATTAAAATGTACACAAACCTTGTCCCCCACCTTTTTAGTACAACACATACCTTGTTCAAACCTAGCTAATAAACAATCAATACCTCCCCCATCCTCCTACTAAAATTACAAAAATTTAACCATCCTTATCTTTCAATTGTTAAAACTATATGCCAACTTTTAACTACAGGACCAGCATATAATGTGGAAGATTTCAAATTTAAACCTGTAAATTTCCTGCAGCCTATAGCTTCCGGAGTCTGTGTAATAGGTCAGTAGAAATTTATTTTCTCTGAGATCATTACCTTATGTTTGGATTATTGTTAGATGTTTGATATCGATATCCAATGTAGGCACTTGTAATTTAAGGATTATACTTGATTTCTCATTTAAAGTTACCTCTGAAGGGTATGACATGACAAGCAGGGGATATCTAAGAGGAATTAAATTTAGCCGGAAATCTGAATAAGATGGAGACTAATTTGCTTGATCCCAAGATTTACAACACATAAGTTCTTCTGAATAGTAGTTTTTTTTTCAAGATCAACCTTGGGATTTTTTTTCAGTGCCATAAACAATTCACTACAGCACCTTTTAAATTTTAGTCTGAGAGTTGGCTATGAGATATGCATTATGCATACCTACAAATCTTTTAAAAAGAATAGACTTAAGTCGACAATTTTTCTTTAACATAAATTTTAGGGTTGTTTTCCTGAATTGGGGAATATAAATGATTTTTTGGGGGAATAACAGAATTTTTGTGGTAACATTTCTGAAAGGATAAAAAAACGTTTCTTTTGATTTCCAATTTTTCATATTTTTTCCCAATTCATTAAAACTCAATTCTTCATACACCCCAGAATCAGTAAAATTACTATTTTATTTGCTCAAAAACTTCACATTAAATTGTTTTAAAATTTGTGACCCTTAAATAATTATTTTGTTTTAGGTATTAATAATTCTACACACACAGCTGTAAATATCAGAAATGCTAATCCACTTGTCACATACGAGGTATTTTCTGTTTCTGAATTGTTCACTTGTTAAAACTATTTTTTCAGGATTTTGGACAATTCCGTGTATTTTATTTGTTTGCATTCATATTTTGCATTTTACAAATTGTGAATGAAAAAATTATCCACTGGATATTAATTCTATGATTCTATCGAGCTACTGATAAATGAAAAAATTATTATCCACTGGATATTAATTCTCTGATTCTATCGAGCTACTGATAAGTGAAAATATTATTATCCACTGGATATTAATTCTATGATTATATCTAGCTACTGATAAGGGAATATATTATTATCCACTGGATATTAATTCTATGATTCTATCGAGCTACTGATAAGTGAAAATAAATCAGACAGCGCTGAAATTTTCATAATCACGATCGTTTAATCTAAGTATCCAATGTACACGCACACTTTTGATTTTCGTTTTAATCCTCTTTTTTGGATATCCCTACTGTATAAAAGTTACGTTGATAACAATTACAGATACAATGCCATATCGATTAAACTAAAATCCGATTGAATTAATATCAGCTGTTCACAAGCCGGTTTTTAGAGCATTTAAACAAATTTAAATTTAATCATGTTAATATGAACCTATTAAAAAATATATTTTATCACATTTTAGGGACTATAATCATTTTTAACGAGTCTTAACAAACATAATACAAAACTTACATTTATTTAATCGATGTTTAGTTCAATTGACATGACACAATTAACGCCAGAAAAAAAAAATTTTTCAAAAGAGTTAAAGAGTACATCTTAATATAATACGCTGATTGGTTAAATTGGTTACCCCACCAGGACCGTAAAAGTCAATTTAGCTGTTTGGATTAAAAAAATATTTCATTCCTTGCATTGCATGTTAATTCTTCGTGAATGTTAAGAAAAATTCTCAAAAAATGTTCTTTTTGATGACGTTTTCTGTCGATTTAATATTACTTTAGAGAAATATTTTCACCATAACCTACCATTTACCAAGGGTATTGAAACCTTTCTTATCTAGAAGATATCAAAATTGCGGAATGGAGGGTATTCGGGGGGGTTTTTCCCCCCCCCCCCCCCCCTCGTTGAACATTGTTCACCGTAGAGAACGTATTTTCGGAACTTTTCAAAGATCATGAATCATTTAATACTCTCCAAAGATTCAAATGTTTTAGATCCAAGCTGAACTGGGTAGTGCGACGAGTACGGGGTTTACTGATGGGAAAACTGTTGCTAAAGCTACCTGGACACATTTAAAGAACAGACGATGGACAATTGATCAAATTCTCTCAAATATTCAGGTTGGGTCGGTTAAAAAGGGCAGGGTTTCCATAAAACTTTGTTGCAGGTCATCTTGCAGTCAAGGGCGGTTTCATGATTTAAGATTGGGGTCTGTAGCAGAACTGTAGAAGGCTGCTTCTTTAGGGAGCTGCTTGAAGCTGCAGGTGTAGATGAACCTTTAGAACCTTTTTGTTGGTACAGAGTTGGTTTAGAACTCCGGAGCTGCTCAAGGATTGGTTACAACTGATGATTACATCTTTCCAAGATTTCAACGTTAGGTTTAAGGCGTAGCCTTAACCTTGAGCCGATACGTAAAAATACACAGTGTTCACAGGATGTTCACAAAAAATACAAAAATATAAATACATTTTAACTATTTATAGAAGCACAAATACCAATTCTTAAAGAATCTGTTACATTTGTTTGTGAATTTTGCAAAAAAGGAGTTTTAGTTTATGAAAACAACCAACAGAGTTCCCATATACAGAGCTAATTGATTCCAACCATGATCTAAGATTCTTTGTTAAAAATACGTACTTTGAACTCCGTTACAACATCAACATATCATATTATTCCAATGAAGGGAGAATTATTTTTATTTCCTGCTATGTTATTTTTGCTATTTTTTCTTGCAGCAATGAGAGCATTGAGCAATATTTACATCACAAAGTCTCAGTGGTCGATAAAATTTGATAAGTTTTGACTAATGCACATATTTTATGGAGGAGGATATATATATGTTTATTTTTACAATGTTGTCACTTTCAAGAAATTTTATTATTTATTCAATAGCAATTATAGTTTGAATTAGAAATGACTTAGAAAAAATCCAGGGGGTACACCCCCCCCCATAATTTTACTTATGGGGGGGGGTAATGGACTTCCCACCCCCTGAAACCGCCCTTGTCTTGCACTGTGCACTAATTTTAAGAAACAAGTTCAAACAAACAAAAATTAAACATGTCAATGCTCTACATTTGTTCATGAACACGCCTTAATATTTTACCATTCAACATGAGCAAAAAAATACAGGGTTGATTTGGTAATAAATATTCTTTATTGTTGCTCTAAAAATGTTTAAGTTATTTTGATTATGAACAAAGTAGAGTTATTTAACAGTCTTGAACGTCTTCTTACTTATACTTCATAGGAAATTATAAAGACTTTTAAAATTTATTTCGTTAACAAATCTTTTACTATAATATATTTTACTTTGAACTCAATTTTACTATAATATGACTACCATACAATTTTTTATTATTCTCTGTGGTTTCAAACAACTTAACAAATTATGGAAGAAAACATTTAAAACTATTCACCAACTGTCATGTTTCGTGGGGCACCCTGTAGTTTAAATCACAAATATTCCCTTTCAGGCATCTCATCAGAAGTCGGCCTGGGCCTCAACTAATGTATTGATTGACTCACAGGAAGCATATGAGCTAGCTGCTAAAGGTAACAAATATAATTTCTTCTTTTATTTAAGAAAACATTTAAAGTGAATCTTGTCGTAAATTTTAGTGATCTTTCAATTTTAAAGTATCCTATGAGTGTGAATTTGTTGACTTCCATGCTGCTTGTAAATGTAAACGTATTAAATGAAAGAATATAAAAAATGTAAAAAATCCACTGAAACATTTGGAAAATTTAACTAGATTTAACTTCAATTTAATTTTTACACAAGAATTCCTATTTTTTTTAAGTAGCGCCACATTTTCACCTCCCTACCCCCAATAAAAAACCTAACTGTAAAAGGGGTTTAAAATATAAAAATGACAAAAATCCCTCCTCTGAAACACAAAACAAAACACACCCAGGTATATTGTTTAGGTCCGGTTAGACCCAATTTGCTGACAGACACTTTAATTTACAGTATCAGGTAATTAATTCATATTCTTTGTATTTATCTTAATGCATGTTGTTTATGTTGTTATATACACTGAGGTTGTCTGCAAAATAACTAAAATCAAATTAAACTTAGGCGTACTAAGTTTTTTGATTTTCGTTATTTTACCTTTAAAATTTATGTTAAAAATCTGTAGTCTTGGCAAACAAAAACCTTGTACTCATTTCATTGACGTTTAAAGTTTTTGAATTAATCATGGGTGCAACTTTTCTTAAAACAATTCCAGATTTAAGAAATTAGTTTCCAAAATCCTTTTCTGTATGTCTCTTTTGTTGATTTTTACCCTAAATATAATTTTTTCTTTTTTAGATGTATTGAGTGGAAGCCTCCTCATTTCTGTCTTAGTATACAGTGCATAGGAGACAGAGATCATAAGTTTCTCTTAGATCTTATCTCTGAGATCGGAATCAGGAAAAATGCAATATCAATAATTTGTCTTTGTTTCCTGTTAAAAAAATAATGAAAAACTCCTTTTTACTTTGGACTTTATATCCACTTATTACCCTCAGAAAAAAAGTTTTTAAAATATTTTTTGTACAAATATTAACATGCGACACATGTTAAGAACACCTCCCCCCCCCCCCCCCCCCNGGGGGGGGGGGGGGGGGGTGCTTCCCCGTTGCATCATACTCCCTATGTGCTTACGTTAAAATAATTTCATAGGTGGTGTATTTTTCGACCAAAACATATCCGCCATACTCCATTTCCGACCTACGCCAAATCCGCTATACTACTCATCTGACCTACTAGCACGTGGTATTACAGCTGCTATATGGACTTGTGGCCGAAGCGCTCGTCCCCCTAGCCTGTCCTAGCCGCAGCGCTCGGCCCAGAAATTGTCTTAACCTAACATAACCCTCTAATAATACTAAAATAAACAGCTGGCGTAGGTCCGATATTGCAGTAGGTCGGAAAGTTAGTATGTCAGAAGTTCAGTAGAGGGATGTTGCGTATAGACGATGTAACATTACCATTTCGTATTAGGGACCAGAGCCGGAATTTTTTCAAATTTACGGTCGTATTTAAGACGTCCTAAATACGTCTCCGTACTCTATAGTGTTTTTCCGCTAGATGTCTCCCGTAAGTTATTTTCGGACAGACAGACTTACTCACGTCGTGTTTACTCACATAATTTCGCCGTGAGTTAACCTTATTATAGATGTCAGCACCTGCACACAATACAACTTTATAAACACAGGGATAAATAATAATCACAATTTTAATAATATAATTTAATTCAAAAAGTCAAATTTTAATCCGATTTTGATAAATTAACTAAATAACAAGTTTAATATTCTGTAGTTTTATTTTACGAAAACTATTATAATCCAATGCTGTTTCATGAGAATTTAATATTTTTGAAAGTCGTCAATAAAAAGCATCCCTTAAAATGTATTCTGCAGTGTATTGAACAGCTTTCTATTTATTTTCGTCTATAGGGGTCGCGCGATGTTGCAGTTTATGGTCGGACACTAGATGTTGTAGAAAATCCCATTTAGACAGTACTTAATTCCTCCGTATTCAGAACGTGAGTAAGTGGAGACGTCATATGTTTGCAAAAAGTACGGATGAAAAAATTCGGGCTCAGTTAAGACGACTTTACCACAAGAATTCAAAGACGACAAGTATTGGTTTCGCCTAGTTTTCTCACGTGTTCTCAAAAACATTTGCGGCATTGTATCCCACATTGCAGTTCATGTTTCCTTCACGTGTCGGTGTAGAACTCGCTTCGGTTTATTCAGCTATGGTTTTTATTGTCCAGTTAGTGTGTTCATATTGCAATTGTCTAGAATGAAGACTCATGCTCATACAACGGGAATACGTTGTGCACAAGTTGGAATATTTACCGCTGAAGATTCCTTACTACCGTCGCAATGTGATCTCGCGAGTGTTATAAATCACATTGGACAAACCAAGAAGATTGTTCGAAGCAAGAAGCCGTTCATTCGACGATCTAATTTTATTAGTTTTAATGATGTGTATTCGTTGAACAAACATGAAGCTGGTGATGGTTCTCAAGTAAAATCCCCGAAAGATAGATTACAGGTTTTAATTAAAGATATTTATAATTAAATTTTGTCAAATTTTTCAGAGGATTGTAACTCTGTGGTAGTGGGACTAATACCCTCATCCACCAACCCTCAACTTAAAACAAGGTTAATCCTTTTTTAATTTGCCTCAAAATTTTCCTGGTTGCAAGATTTGAGGATTAGTATTAAATGCATGTGGAGCAAAACATAATATAGGTTTTGTTGTTTAGAACCAACTCCAGCTAGAAGATGCCTCCTAAGTTTGATCCTAATGAGGTTAAGTACGTCTACATGAGAGCTGTAGGAGGAGAGGTCGGTGCTACCTCTTCCCTCGCTCCCAAGGTATGTTTAAACTTTTTTGCTTATTAGTTGGAAAGGAAATGAAGTCCCGAGTTTTATGATTCCGAGACTTTTTTCTATAATAATATCGGGGCTGCCATTTATTTCTCGGGAATTGAATTTATATGTCAAGGGAAAATTAGGTTAAGTCTTAGACGTTCTCTTAAAACGGACTTTTCTTTTAAGCATCTGATATTGAATATACCCACGGGTGTATTAAATATTAAGACCCTATTTTCCATAGTATTAACATTTTTTATGCAGTTTCCACTGTTATGAGGACTTCTTTGTTTAAAAAAAGCCGGAACCAAAAAATGTCTAAAAGGACATTTTGGGTCTGTGTTAGAAAACTATAGGACAGTCGAAGGGGCCGAGCACTGCTGCGGCGAGGACCGGCTTAGGGGTCGATCGCCGCGGCTAGGGCAGTTTAGGGAGCTGTGCGCTGCGGCCACATGATCAACTTTCTCCATGTGTTCAATAAGAGATGCATGTATTAACAGAACAGAATAGTTCTGTAGTTTATTACCAACTTTTGTTATGAGACTTCTTCTTTTCTGGCGGTTACCGCTGAGTTAGTTCCCTTAAAACTGAAATATACTAGTTAGATTTAATTTAAAAATAATTGCATTTTTGTAAATTTGGTTTAGTGACGAATCGTTAAAGAAATTAGCTTAATCTTTATTTTGGTAAATGGATTTAATCTTATCTTTAGAAGTATTTGGTTAAACTATTTGTCTAGGTCGGTCCCCTTGGTTTGTCTCCCAAGAAGATTGGTGACGATATCGCTAAGGCTACCGGAGACTGGAAAGGACTCAAGGTTACCGTTGAGCTCAAGATCCAGAACAGACAGGCTACGGTAAGAAATGTTGTATGACATTTATCTGAAAGTTCTCGGTTCTTAATTTCAAGCAATGGTTAACCAAAACATGGCCATTTTTGCTAGCGCTAAGGATCCATCTAGTTGATGCGGATTCAGGCCATACACATTTCTTGAACACTTTAAATTTGTTAATAAAAGATAAAATTTCCCTAAAATACTCTTTTTCTTAATGTCAACTTTGTGCTTTTCAGTTAAAAATAAAATTAAACTTTAGATAATATCTTTTTTTGCAACAGTACAGATTTGGGGTTTAATTTTTGTCCCTTGGATCCACATATGTAAATAATGATAAATTCATGGTTGTGCTTGATATTCTCCTCTGACCAGGTTTCCGTTGTCCCCTCTGCTGCTGCCCTGATCATCAAGGCCCTGAAGGAGCCTCCAAGGGACAGGAAGAAGGTCAAGAACATCAAGCACAACGGTAATGTCACCATGGATGACATCTACAACGCTGCTCGTATCATGAGACCTAGATCTATGGCCAGGTAAAAATAATTTGTGTTATGTACTCTACATCTACAAACGTTAATTTTTCAAATTTTGAATCTAAATTAATGTTTCCTTGCAAGGAATTTCATCAGAAGTCCGTGAATTAGTAAAAATTATATTTAAATTGATTAGTTCCTTGTAATCAAGGAGAATTGAATAGAAGGAGGGGGAAATAGGGTTTCCGTACACTTTGCTGTGACGTTTTTGGACTGCAGAAGAACTAGTATTTGCTTAACAACAATAACAAAAGGCAACCGATCTAATGTAAACAAACATAAGTTAGTATACGGTGAATCTTCATCTAACACCAGAGATGCGCCAGATGTCTGTTCATCTTTTCTGTTATTTTTTACAATCTTTGTTATTGTTACGCAAAAACTAGTTCTTCAGCAGTCCAAAAACGTCACAGCAAAGTGTACGGAAACCTTATCGCCCCCTCCTTGTATTCAATTCTCCTTGCTTGTAACAATAAGGAAAAAGAAAATTTTCATATCAGAAAGAATCAATTCATAAAATTAAGAGTTCTCAAGTAGTTATATTTTTCCCAAACCAGTGATATGGACATCGGAAGATGCGTTTCAAACCGCTGAACTTCGCTCATTTATCCCTTTTTTATATTTAATAATTAATGTTCCAGGGCTAAATCTAGGGTCACAACTTTTGGGTTTATAAAATGGTTTTTATGATATATGAGCTAATCATGAATTTTTATTTTTAAAAAAATTAACTTTTAACTAGTTTAGGATGGATTTTAGCATTATTATCTATAATTAAAATAGTTGTACTTCTCCGCACAAATTTATGGTTTTCCATACTTAAAATCGACTATCTTAAAAAAGAAAAACATCGTGTTCTCTTGCCTTTCTTTCAGTTAAAAAAATTAGTTGGACAACTTTAATTGAAGGGACTTACCGGCAATGAATGGTGGTTGAACTGAGAACAGTATTGTCGAGAAATTTTTTAGGATTTATTTGAGACATGCAAAACGTTCGAAAGATTTATAATACTCACCCTGAGTGCAAGGTCGATGTTAAACATTATTAATTTTGGTAGGTACGTTTTGGGAATCTTTGTTTTAAAAATGTTTAAAAACGACCAAAAAAATGTTACAAAATTTCTACAGTTCACTAATCAGTTGTTAGGGAACAGGTTGAGAAAATGATAACCTCATTACTCACATAGATTTTCTGGAGTTTTTATTGAAAGACAACATCTGAAGAATTTGATTCATAGAAAATAAGAATTTCAATATAATGAGAAATGAAACAATTGATTCTAACACTGATTTATTGATAAATTTCTATTGAGAAATATGTTTCTAAACATATTATTAGAATTTTTACTTTATTTTTCGTCGTCATTTAATAGTTTATAAAAACCGCTCCTCAAAACGGACCCTTTCAAATTGACGATATTGAAAGTCTAATGTGCGCTCAAACTCGGTAATTATAAATCATTAAAACGTTTTATCATGTCTCAAATAAATCCTTAAAAAAAATCTTAACAATACTGCAATCTGAGTTCAACCACCATACATTGCCTCCCTTTAAGGAATATTTAAATTATTAAAGATAAATAATAATAAACATTATTTCCCAGGGAATTCTCCGGAGTTGTGAAGGAGATCCTTGGAACCGCTCAGTCTGTTGGTTGCACCGTGGACGGTAACGATCCTCATGACGTTATTGACAGCATCAATGACGGATCAGTTGAGTGCCCCGCTGCATAAATATCGCCGGCTGGACCTTAGCTGGTGTTGGGATTGGAAGTTGAATGCTGTTACTTAATATCTGTAACGACACCAATGCATTTAATAAATACATACCAATCTTCCATTTTGTTTTTGTATTTCAAATTGCGCGCTATAAAGGTAAAAATGCGTTTTCTGAATTTAGTTGCAAACTAAGACTCCTTAGAAACTGACCCGAGACCGTTCTCTCCCTAATAATGTATCATCTGTGGTCGTCATGTTACGTACTTTTGGGACGAAAGTTAGGTCGCTAAATATCTCGCGAAAACTTTTTATCCTAGAATTATGTATCATACGACCACGAATGGGGGACGTCGTGTGGTCGACCACTATAATATTGAAATGAATGGCCTCAGCAACTACTAAAATATTGATCCTACTAAAGCAAACATTAAAATGACTCTCGATTTCAAGCACAGCTGCTTTATTGTTTTTTCATTCAAGCAAGAAATGGGTTGCATGTCAAGAATTTTATTGAAGAGAATGAGTTCTTAATTGATAAGTCATGGTTAGTAACTGAAATTGAGAAGTAATGTTTATTTATATAATTAAACCAATAGAAACGTTTCAGTATTGAACTTGTGACATTTTGTTGTATTTTTTTAAAGAATAATTGTCCATGTGAAATTTAATTATATTAATCTGAAATGAAATTCAATAAGGTATCGGTATCGCTTATATCAAAGATTATTAAGTTAAAATTGGGAATTTTTCGTTGAAAGTTAATATACTTTCAAGTTCTGTTGTCAGAGTGGGGGGGGGGAAGGCAGGCGGTCTGAAGTCTGCAACATTTTTCCCTTTTTGTTCTTCGTCAGCCATGAACTACAACCGTACAGTCTTACGTCAATTATTACGTTTTTTTACCGAAAAATTGAATGCATTAAAATTTTTATTTTCAAAAATGCAGCGACGTCATGCATGAGAAATATATTGTTAAGTTTTAGATTGAAATAATGAAGATTCCTTTTAATGTGAACTGCTGGACTTATTACCTTCAAAAATAAATTCAATCTTTCCTCCAAAATGGCTAATTTTTAGAAACCTTAGAATTTATGCGCCACAACATGCTCGTTATAGTTTAATGGGCGCCCTTAACCAAAAATGTGTACTACTTAACGCGAAAATTGCAAAGCATAATTTTTTTGTGCAAATCTGTAACGCTCAGCTCAGGTAATGGCAGTTAATATATTGTGATTTTTTATCATTTCTTTTTGTGGCTCAAACTTTGGGTTATGGTCAACTAGGTCAACCTTGGAACTTGTACGAGTATGTTATGGTCAACCTTGGAACTTATACGAGTATGTTATGGTCAACCTTGGAACTTATACGAGTATGTTATGGTCAACCTTGGAACTTATACGAGTATGTTATGGTGCATCATTTTTACTCTACATAATTTTTTTTTAAACTAGCAATTTTAGAGGAAATATCGAATTTGTTTCAATTTGAACTTAAATTATAATGATATTAATAAATATCATTTGCATGACGTGGCCGAATTTTTGATGCATTAAATCTACCATTAAGAAACGTTATTATTGCTGGAAGTCTCGAATGTATGGCATGGAAGACCGAACTTTTGAGGTTATGGCTGCCGATGGTGTATGGCATATCCGATGTACTCCACTTGTGACCTATGCCAAATCTGATATATTACACATCCGACCCACTAGTACGTGGTTATACAGCTGCTAGATGGACTTCTGACTGCGGCGCATGGCCACTTGTCATAGCCGCAGCGCTCGGCAAAGAAATTGTCTTCACCTAACCTTACCCTCCAATAATTCAAAAATACACAGCTGGCGTAGGTCATAAGTTAAGCACGCGGAATGTTTCGTATAGATGATGTATCATTACCCTGGCTGCCTGAAGACAAAAAAGCTTATGTGGCATGGAAGGGAAAAATAGTGTGGCTTATGGCCACCTGCCTTTCCCCGCTCGTCAAACTCAAATTAGGCTGAACGATATCTTAAGTGTCAACTTGGATTGCTTGAATTGTCGAGGGAAAAATGGTCGTTTTTAAACCATGAATTTTTTTAAACTTGAATTTTCAGAAAAGAAAATCTTCCTGACAAATTTAAATATGGCCAAAACTAGGGGGAAATCTAGACGAATAGTTCATGATTATAAAAGAGACCTAATTTATAAAACGCCGCATATTTATCAAGATATTAAATCGGTAATTGATAGAAGTTAACATTTCAGTGTGTGTTAAACAAATGATAGTTATGGTGGACAAGTTCCATCAACAAGTGTTAGATTGATTCACTCACAAAGAAACAAAAAATATAATATTCATGAAGCGTATTTCAATTTGTGCTACAAAACATCTTGGTTCACCGACATCGGGTCAAACGACAAACGGTCAAAAACGCGCCAAAAGAACAGGCTAGGGGGCCAAGCTCTGCGATTGGGAGTTCAAATTAATTTATCATAAAAATATGTATTATTTCAAGTTTAGGTGAGGTTAAGACCTGGGCAGAGCGCTGCGGCTAGGACAGGATAGGGGAAGCGCTGCGGCTAATGAACATGATCGAAAATATGTTAAATTAACCAAAATAGTCTAAATGAAATTTTGCCCGTTTGTCGCACTTTTTGCCCTGTGTCGTTTTACCCTTTGTCGCGTTTTGACCGTATGTGGTTTAACACTAGGTCGTTTTACCCTTTGTCTGTAAATCAACATCTTTAGTAAGCTGATCAAAAAGTTTGGTTTAAAAACTGTCAAGGTTGTTGGTCTTCTTGCACAACAATCTGAGGTTTTTCAAGTATTTCTAAAAAAATAGATTATCATAGATTCTCTTGCACCAAGCAAAATTTTGATTAACATTGTTATGTTTAATCTTTTACACAGTACAGTATTTAGATGTTTAAAGTTAACAGTTGTTGTGTCGTGTATTCTTAAAGTCCAAAAAAAAAATGCCCAGACATCTTTTCTTATTATAAAAGTGCACTTCAGCTGCCAATAATCTTGCGGAAATAAATTTTAATCTGTAAACATTTCGGATTGGATTGATGTGGTAAGTTATGTATTTAGTATTTACCCAGATGTTTTAAACTTGTTTTAACCGAACAGGAAAATTATGAGTTTGCGGATTCTAAATAAATATTTAAATGTACTTTAAGTGACTGAGCAACGTTGCTCTAACGAACGGCAAGCTATAAAAAATTTTACGAAATTCAGCAATTCGCTTCTTTTCGCGAAAAAATGCGAAACTCGTAATGAAAAAGTCGCAAAAGTTTTCTTTTTGCTAGAAAAACGAACGGCAAAATCCAGAAATTTTGAAATTGTTGACAAACGAAATAATCGTTCATGAAAAAAGCTTTAAATGATGTTTTTTATAATAACGGCGACCATTATTAATTTGACCTGCTTAAAATGCAAAAAAAATCTTCATTCAACATCGATAATAATATTGAGATCGGCAACAAATGGTAACTTCATAAAGAATTGAAATATTATACCGTTAACTTAAGTTCAGTTATTATCTAAGAACGAACGGATATCAATTTAAAGGTTCGCTTTTTAACGATTTTATCCAACCGTTAAGGATGGGTTGAAAAAAAGTTATGAACGTTCCCAGCCCTACTTAACATTTTAACTGCTGAAGGCCAATTTAATACATGAACTAAGAGATAAGATTATTAATTATCCATAAGTTTATCGCCATGTTGTTAGTATTAAAGTTATACTAGAGGTTGCTATATACTTCTATAACAGCAGCTTTTATAACAAGCCTCTTACATGTCAAACAGTACAGAACGAAAATTTGAGATATTGATTAAGAATTTGTACAGAGCAATTTCTTGAATTTTTTCAATAATATTTAGGAAACTAATTGTGTCACTGTTAAATACCTCTGACTTTTCTACAGGGCGTCCCAATAAACATGGGAATTCAGTGACAAATTCGATATCGTCTTTGACATGAATTAGCATTGTAATACCTAATTTTGAAAGCCATAATATTATTATGTCTGCTAGAGTTTATTTTATTAAAACGGTAAATGGCTGTAAAGATGTGTCTTTAATGTCTCCGCAAGATAAACAGTGAAAAGACGGACAAGTTTACTCTGTTTGTATATTGCATTTTTTGTTTGTTTTACTAAGTACAACCGTATGCAAACAAAACATAAACAAACAAATTGTAAACATAGCAGATGAAAATCATACGGATTACAGATTTCTCAGTAGGTATTACTATAATAAATCAAAGAATTATTTTAAAAGACGATATCGAATTCGTCACTGAATTCCCATGTTTATTGGGACACACTGTATTATATATATCCACTATCCATGCATAATATCTTATATCCCATTATGTTTTCCCAAAACTTACTTTTAACCCCCCCCCTCCTATTTAACCTTGGGCACAAAAATCCAACGGGGGGTTCCGCCACAAATCTTAAGAACTGTTACATTTTCTTATTGATGTCATTTAAAAAAATGTTTTCAGATTAGGGCAATACTAACCAGTAATCATGAAAACTCTACTTTACTCCAGGAACACAAAAGAAGATAAACAATTATTAGTTTTCAGTAGAATAATGATTGACCAACAGTTTCGTCGATAGTTGCATGAAAACTTAAAAAAAACTTCTATGGTTTTGAGCTTTAGTGAAAACTGTTTGTTTTTTTAATTAGAATACTAAATTTTTAATTTTAATTGAAAAATTAGGAAAAAATTAACCAAACATTAGAATTTTAGTTTGTTCTGGCATATCTTCCTTTAGGGTTACTATTTATTTTAGTGAACAGAAAACAAATGTTTTGGAAGAAGTTTTTTTTTTTCATTTTTGTGGAACCTGTTAAGAAACAAAGTTGTAAAATGTAACAAATAAAAACCGTTAATGTGCATTACTGGTATGAAACATGCACATTTTATTTTTCCAATTCATATCTAACGTTAAAATATAATGTAAACATATTTGGTACATAGACAAATTGGTTTTGAAATATTTATGCTGTTCTGTTCTAACTGAAATCTTATTAAAATCAATTTACAAATGAAAGAGATATAGCAAAAAATTCGGCGAAAAATTGTTTAATTTTTAAATTGTAGAATTTTACGTAACTACATTACTCTTTCTCAGAAATCTCTTGCCGAATGTGGTATGAATTAAGCATGAAATTTCCCTGAAAATAAAATGTAACGCGAAATCTAAGTCTACGTAATTTCAAAAACTAAAATTTCTTTTAGAAAATATTTGTGAAATAAATTGTTTGATTAAAACAGAAAGCTGATATTTTTATTTCCCATCGCTCAACTGAGTATGTCACGAGAACAAAAACATGAAACATATCTTTTGACGTGAAAAAAAATCACTAATAACAAAATATCCATAGATAAAGAGGTTAAAGTAAAATTTGTACAACACAGTGGTAAAACGTGGAATAATTGTCGCCCCTGACATTTTTGACATCAGTTAATTTTAAATTTTAGCCTTAAATAACAAAATTTGATTATCGTTGGCTTTCTTTCTCTCAATAGGTGAATCCCAGATATATGAATACATAGCAAGAGTTTTTTATAATGTCGTAATACATACTTAACCTACAAATTTTTTTTTTGCAAACATTTTTACTATATAACTGGATTTTGCGATAAAAAATTTAATTTTTGCAAATTTGCAATTTTTTTACAGATTCTAAAAGTAGAGCACAAGAGCTTTCCAATGATGTATCATTTGTCATATTTGGACATCAAACATGGGAGTCAAATTGACCCCCCAGCATATCCTGGTTTGCAACTACCCCAGCAGAGATAGGGTTAAGATCAAATGCCGCGGAAAAGTGAGATCAATATTAATATATCTATTGCATTAATATTTCAGGGCTGTTAATTTACCTTGAATTAAAAATAAAATGAAGTTTACTTAGAATTATTAAAACAATTATGGCGGTCTATGAATTCATATATCTGGGGTTCACTGTATAATCTTTTCTTTTTAAAGTGTTGTACTGGTTGTAGTGGTTGCAGTACTGAGAAACCAGTTTAGTAAACAGTTTGTAAACATGGCTGATCTAGTTCTAGATCAAATATATTTTGGACTCTGTAAGTTGGACGGGGTACAGGAGTTCAATCAAAGGTAGAAAATAAAATATATTTATTATAGATGAAATATGTGGCTAAAAAACGTACGAGGATTATTTTTAGGTTTGTCATATTCTCAATTTCTAAAATAAGAAACAACGATTATTTGATAATTCCTTGCCGAAGAATAGAAAATTTTATAATAATTTCATGATAATTTCACTTTACAGATTGATTGACTGTATTATTAGTTTTAAAGTTTGAAAATCTAAATGTTTTACCAGACAGAATGCAGAAAACACCCAAAAAGGTTATTTTTAGATAAAAAGAATCCTAAATGACTTAGCATTTGATGATTTGAAAAAAACTTCCTTTTTCAAGTTCCGAGATCAAACTTGGAAAACTACTGAAATCGTCTTTTGATTATGATTATTTGAAATGACTTTAAGTCTCAAACGATTTATTCTGTTAAAAAAAACTTCATAAATTGAAACTTTAAAAAATATTTAGTTTAAATTTTGAGTTAATTTTTTCCTTCTTTATTCCATTACATTACATACATAATTATCAATTTAAAATGCATATTTTTGTCAAGCAGTCAAGCTATTTTTAACTATACGTGATTTTTATCTTGTCTTTCTTAACATAAGTACAAATGATAACAATGTTGTTAATGTTATTAAACATTAAAATCTGCTTCGCTTATTTATTCTTATTGCTATAGCGATAAAAAATCTTGAATTTCGTCTTGTCAGTAAATAAAGCTTATTGAGAGGGGGGGGGGGCTGCAATATTAGAAAAAAACCTTGCTATTCTTGTTCGTAACAATAAACTTACTGAAGACAAAAAAAAATTGAGGTTAAAAAAAATTGGCATAAATATTGTGAGGAAAACGGGAAAATAACGTTCAAGATAAGTACAATTTAAAAATAGTAAACTATGTTAACGAAAACGATGTCCAAATCTAAAAGAATAATTAAATATATCTTATTTTCAGATCTCCTAATTATATGGAAGGAAACTGGATTCCAGTTCATAAAGGTATTACCAGGCGCGCAAATAAACATTCAGCATGGCTGGGGAAAGGAATTTTGTTTGCCCCCTTCTCCCCCTAAATATTTCTAGGGGGGGGGGGGAAGAAAATGTGAATTGTACTCAACCATAAAAAACTACTATTTAGGTATTTTGGGGGGAAATTTTTTAATTTGGATACATTCATTCAGTTTGGGAAAATCTAAAACTAAATTTCAGGGGAAAATTTACTTTTTGCGGCAAATTTTAGTTTTGGGGGGCCTTTTTCAATTTTGTCAATTTTGTGTATGGGAAATCTTAAATCTTTTTTTTGGATAGGGCTGTAAATTTTAAAGTTGTTTGTATTTATAAAACATTTGGGGATAAAAATATTAAATTTAGGTGCAAATCAAAATATTTCTTGGCATTCTAAAAAACCAAGGATTATAAATGTTGAAAAAAGGGGACAAATTAAGTCTTGTGGGGCAATTCGAATAAGAATGTGTGGGTGTAATTTAAAAAATCCAAATTTGGGGGCATTTTTAAAAGAAAGGGGACAAAATAAAAAGAATCTGAGCTTACATTGAAAAATGTTATAATGGAATTTGAGTTTGCTTAAAGAGTGTAGGTTTAAAAAAATAATCGTAAGTGACGGGGTTATATTTTTTTCAAATTTTCGAGAAAATTAGGTATTTTTGGAACTATACAGACCTTTGTTAAGGACTTCTTGCCCCCTCCCCTCCCCCCAAGCATAAAGGGTGGGCATGTCCACCCTTAATTAGGCTAAGGGGGCCTGGCCCCCCCTGCGCGTCTGGGTATTACCCCCTTTCCTCCCTAATTTGTTTTTACATTTCCCCGGCGGATTGTTGGGGGTATATGTGTATGATCAGGGAGTATGGACTAGAAGGAGATACAACTGACGCGGCCCGCCCTACCATTTGAATATACATGCTTTGCAGAATGTACTCCATTTGTATAAGAAATATTCAGAATAGGTTATTGTGTAAGCGGTAATTGTATACATCAGACAAATTTTTCTTAAACAAATGAAGTACCGTCTGCAATGCATGTAAAATCATACGGTAGGGCGGGCACGGTCAGTTGTATCTCCCTTCTATTACATACTACTTGGTATGATCCGCTATTTTAGATCTTTTTAATGATAGTGATAATTTACATTTACAGGGTGTCCCAAGCCGGCCATTTTAAACTTTCCACGAATGGTGGATTTTTAGTTTGTGTATGAGTATGTTGGATTTACGAATGAATTCAGGATTATTTGAAGACGATGTATGTTGAATTTCGATATCTGATACATCCAAAGTGTGTCCTGAAAGTGATAATAAAAAATAAATAAAAAGGGACATTTATATAGAGTTGAAAGTTGTTGGTGTGCCTGGGAAAGGAAACCTGCCTCAGGAGCTGGTTGGAACTACATATGCAAGGTATACTTCTGGAAGTTTCCAGTGGAAACTCCGGTCAATCTGATTCTGAAGACCAATTTATATATATATAATATTTTTAAATACTTGGGACATAAAATGTCGTCATCCAACTATGAGTTTGGCTCATTTTAGTATTTAATCACTTTGGTACTTCAGCTAGTGAATTATATATTGCATTATGTTTATTAAACGAAATCAGACACTTATCTTTATTTAGAATTGGTCCAAATTTGAAATGTTGGCCTCCCACCAATAAACATCATGCATTCAATGGTGAAGCTATGATCCATACAATACACATGGATACAAATAGGTAAATGATACATACAATATACATGGATACAAATAGGTAAATGATACATACAATACACATGGATACAAATATAGGTAAATGATACATACAATACACATGGATACAAATAGGGAAATGATACATACAATACACATGGATACAAATAGGGAAATGATACATACATTATACAAATACCTGGATACAAATAGGTAAATGATACATACAATATACATGGATACAAATAGGTAAATGATACATACAATACACATGGATACAAATAGGGAAATGATACATACAATACACATGGATACAAATAGGTAAATGATACATACAAAAGACACAGATACACATAGATATTGTTAGGAGTAAAAGTTTTGAATTTGAATCATTATTAGATGTTTTTAAAAGGTACCAAAGCTTATGTTTTCCTGTTTTTACTAAAATAATTTTAAGAGATGTTTAAGAAAAATGATTTTCATTACATTTTTAGTTCAATAAAATACAGCAACAATTGGATAAGAGAAAACCTTCCAAATAAAAGGTAAATATTTTAAAACGTTTTTAGTTATTAAATTAATAAAAACCTCCACCCCCCACCCCCTTCTGCACTAAAAATCTTTTATATTTAGTATTAAAAACTTTTCCCTCGATGATGTTTGCTTGAGAATGGATGAAGTTGGCATGAATGATATACGATACAGAACTTTCCATCCTCCAAAAAATTCGGACTTAAAAACTTTAACAGAATGATTTGGGGATATATAAAATAGATATCAATTCACTTCGAGAAACAAAATTTGAAAGAATTTGAAATTTGGAAATCTGAAATTTTAGATGGGATGATATTGGAAAGGAGTGTGGGCCTACTTTTGGTTTTGCAGATTTAAATGACGGAGGTTTAGTCTTATTCAGGTTAAAAATAAAATTTGTTAAGATATTATTAAGATATTATTTAATTTGTTTGTCTTTTTCCAGGTATCTTGTGCTCAAGATGAAATCCAAATTAAAGGGTATAGTTCATCCCCCGCAGGTAGGGAGAGACGCTTTTATTTTCTCTCATTGTCATACTCATAGTGCTTTAAAGTTTTCGGACACAAAGTCTCTCTTAATCGAAAAGGTTCAAAGTCTTTTAAGATTACAGTTTGTAACTAGCTTTAGCGAGGCACAAAATGTAAAAATAAAGGGGAGACAATCCTATTTGAAATATATTGTTTGACAGGAAAGAATTCAGGCTGGATCTACTGCTATAGTTCATCATGCAGGTAGGTCTGTTTACAATTTGAAATATATTTTTCGATTAAAGAGCATCAGTACCAATTTCGAAAAAAAAATTGTGAAACGAAAAATTGTCTCTCTCAAGGGTGCTTTATCCCTGAAAAATTGTCTCTCTCCAGAGTGCTTTAGCCCTGCAAAGCACCCTGGCTCCGTATTTTTTCTTTTTTTCAAAGAAACGTCAAATAAAGAAGATTTGTTCTTTTTAGAAAAGATATTTGCTTGTTCCGAGCTTTTTCTGCCATTTGAGATCAAAATGTCAAGGTAACATTTGTCACTTTAAAGAAGGAAAAAAAGGTTAATGAAATAATTTTTCCTAGTGATTCTGTTAATCCTATTGGATTCTATGATTACCATGGGAAACTCACAAATCGGAAGAATGGTCCTGTTGATGGAACCTTTTCAGGTCAGTTTTTAAAGAAAAGACCGCCGTTCTGCATGTAAAGGGGGGACAGGTCAAAATGAAATTATTACAAATAAAAACAGATATCTGGCACTTTTTCAATTATAGCTTCTCTTTCTACAGAGCTATCGAGAATTAAAAACAGTTTTCTGCTATTAAGGAAACATAAAAAGATAAATTTACTTTTCTCATACAGGGTGTCCCAAAAACCATGGGAATTCAGTGACGAATTCGATATCGTCTTTTTAAATAATTCTTTGATTTAGTATAGTGATACCTACTGAATAAGCTGTAATCTGTTAGAGTTTTGTCTGCTATGTTCACATTTTGTTTGTTTATGTTTTGACTGCATACGGTTGTACTTAGTAAAACAAGAAAATTGCAGTATATAAACAAACTTGTCAGTCTTCACTGTTCATCTTGCGGAGACATTATTGACACATCTTTACAGTCTTTTTACCCTTTCCATAAAATAAACTCTAGCAGACATAATAATATTATGGCTTTTGAAATTAGGTATTACAATGCTAATTCATAACAAAGACGATATCGAATTCGTCACTGCAAATTCCCATGTTTTTTGGGACACCCTGTACTTTGGCTTAAAATTGAGCTCACAAATTTTCCCTTTTCCTTTTGTCTACAGATAGGGAGGGGGGATAGGCGTAATGCAGTGATGCAGGGGAGACAGGTATTTTCGGGTATATATGTATAGCTCAACATTACATAGAGACTGGATTTGCTTAAAGAGGCATTATGCAACCTCAGGTCAATCTATGAAAACTATCAAGGTTACTGATTTCAAGCGGTGTAATCAATTGTTATACATTTGGTTCATAGATAATATAGATAATATCTTGTATATCTACTTCTAGCTCACCCTGTAATTGATGAGAAGACGGGTGACCTGTACTATGCTTCTACTAATCAAGCAGCAGGATCAGTAGCTGGAGGTCAACCCTTTCTAGATCTCGGGGTCGTAGATAAAACAGGAGTTCTTTACAAACTCTTCCATATTCCTATCAGGAATGGGATCTTAACTGAAATTTTATCGTCATAACTTGTATATCGTGAACATACTGTCCATTTACCCTACTTACCGATGCTATAATGCAAGGAAAATTAATTGCAGTTGCGTATACTCTGCTTACATATTGAAACCAGTTCTTTCTGTGCGGAATTTGTAAACAAGAATGTTAACACAAGACGGATGTCGAAGCCTGACATGGGATGCATCTTTCACATAAAATATCAATAAAATATTCTGGTCATAGGAAACAATTGTGTGGATTATCAAAATTATGAAAATTTAATGCTTTTAACCTCCTCGGATACTAAACGAACACTGATGCATCTATTCTTGTTTACAAATTCCGCCCACAAAAAACTGGTTTCAATATGTACGCAGAGTATACGCGACCGCAATTAACTTTCCTTGCATTAGTACCTTTCTCTATTTTATTAAGAAGCTGCATCAGAAATTTATCTGACTATAATTGTGCACAGCTGTACTAGCTGTACTAGCTGTACTAGTTGTACTAGCTGTACCAGCTGTACTAGCTGTACCTTACGTCATTGGTTATTTTGGTTGTTTGAGATCAACAGTCAACAGTAAAACAGCAGTTATAATTAAACAATTTTAAATTAGTTTAGAGTGTCTTTCTTTGGATTTCCCAAACATTCTGTTCTCCAATTCTAACACAATGTTCGTAATCTTGACATGCTTTCTTTTTTTCGGCTTAGGCCGCCGAAAAAGGTCACTGCGTCAAATACGCACCTTATTATCATCATTCCCTATCAATTACGGTTCTAAAACAAATGTATTAAGTTTTAGGAAAATCGCGAAATTGAGTGTTTAAAGTTCAGTATGTGTAATTCATTTTTAAAATTAAAAAATAATAATAAACAATTAAGATTAGGAAATAAGCCCTTAGAAATCCTACATCAGCCTTCTACCACGACATAATGCTCACTGAGAATTATGTTATAATTCCAGAAACTTCTCTCAAAAAAGATGTCACCAGATTAAACAGTGTAAGTTGCTCTTTAGATTTTAATACATTTTAAATATTAAAACCTTTTAAATTTAGTATAAGACCCTGACATTTTACAATGAAACGGAACCAATGAGGAATAATTTCTTATTGTTTAAATCATATAAATATTACAAAGCTACTACTTAAAGTAGATTTTAAGTTTTTCATTGACTAAGAGAAAAATAAGAAATTCGCAGATTTGGGATTATTGGACGTGATGCACGTCCGCAGATGAAATAGTTTGGATAGCGACTCAGTTTCCAGGTTCTCTTTATAAACCCAGTTTCTCTCCAGGTTCTTTGTAAAACCTAGTCAATAGTTTCTGGTTTGAACCCATGTGTCCAGTTTTTAATTGTAAAACCAGCTCAGTTACATTTTCCATAATACTTTTGCCCTAAATTAAATACTTTTTCCATAATTACACTTGCCATACTAAGTTTACCATAATGGTTACACTTGCCATAATTACAACATACATACATTTTTTTAAAAGTAACAATTACAATTAACAAATCTAAATGATGGACACTGAACAGCTTATGAGCAGTAAGGTTAATGTACTGCTCTATTGCAAAAGTATTGTATTGTCATTAATTCTTCACCAAGCTCTTTCTTCCAGTATTAGTGTTTATATCTCTCTACAGGTTTTTTGTAAACCCCAATTTCCAGGTTTTGTAAAGACCTAGTTTCCTGGTTGAGTGTTTAATATTTCTGCACAAATATTCAAGTTTTTGTTGTGGTTTAGATTGCTAAATTTTCTTTTTAACAACACTTCAAGTCTTTATTTCTCACGTATATTATTTTCAGGGCATATTTGGCATACAATAACCGCTAAAGAGGAAAAGGGTAGAATAACTGTGTATTATTTTCAGGGCATATTTGGCATACAATAACCGCTGCAGAGGAAAAGGGTAGAATAACTGTGTATTATTTTCAGGGCATATTTGGCATACAATAACCGCTAAAGAGGAAAAGGGTAGAATATTGTAGGCATACAATAACCGCTAAAGAGGAAAAGGGTAGAATATTGTATTATTTTCAGGTTATATTTGGCATACAATAACCGCTAAAGAGGAAAAGGGTAGAATATTATATTATTTTCAGAGCATATTTGGCATACAATAACCGCTAAAGAGGAAAAGGGTAGAATATTATATCATTTTCAGGGCATATTTGGCATACAATAACCGGTGCAGAGGAAAAGGGTAGAATATTATATTATTTTCAGGGCATATTTGGCATACAATAACCGGTGCAGAGGAAAAGGGTAGAATATTATATTATTTTCAGGGCATATTTGGCATACACTAACCGGTGCTGAGGAAAAGGGTAGAATATTATATTATTTTCAGGGCATATTTGGCATACAATAACCGCTGCAGAGGAAAAGGGTAGAATAACTGTGTATTTTCAGGGCATATTTGGCATACAATAACCGCTGCTGAGGAAAAGGGTAGAATAACTGTGTATTCTCCCAAATTTGAAACCTACTCAGATAGAGTTAATATTCATCTTACAAGGTAAATATATAGATTACAGTTTTTATTTTAAAACACATAAAACACAATAGAATAATTTACGAGGGTTCAGATAAAGCCCACACATAAACTTAAACTTAAACATAAACATA